TTTTTTACAAAAGTCTAGTTTGTAATCCGTCAAATTATCCGACAAATATAATAATAAGATTCTATATAACAGTAATAATCAAAACAATACCATACGCGTGGAGCACAATAGAGGTAGTGCGTACAGTTTCAATGTATAGTTTGGTAGTGCATACAACTTGTTCAATCAAGCATTAGCGGATAATGTGAAAAAAAAATATTCAATAATAAATAATAGACTATGTCAGATTACAGTGGATGCCGAATTACCGGTTATCCACTGTATTATTCTATGAAGTAATTAATTTATCTAAAACCTTCTCTTAAGTCTGACAAATACTATGCTGAAAACCACATCAAAATCGGTTCAGGCAAACGTGAGATAATTGCGCACAAACATACATACATGTCAAACTGAGGCCCTCTTTTTTTTGAAGTCGGTTATAAATGACAATATATCATTTAGAAGAGAAATTCTGATATTAGAGTCTGTCTTATGAAATCTAAATAGGTTATTTTTTATTTTTATACACGCTTAGACTCTATTGTCAAACTATGACGTAAAAGTACGACCTTAGGCTACTAGATTTTGATACTTCTATTATTGTTTAAATTACACTACACTTTGCTGCGTAGTAATAAGGATTCACCATATTCTCAGTTATTTATCTATAAATATATCAAGGCTCTCGTTCCATACGGTAAATAGGTATAAACTATAGCATGTAAATTGTGTACAATCTTTTGTTTTTCTTCAATGTAGTTATAAATAAATAATATTTATTTTTTGAGACATAAAATGTATTAACTATTAGTCTGCCAAAATTTCCCTCGATTCGTTTAGTAGTTGATAGATTCGTATTATTATTTTTGTTTCGTTTCCACTGAAATAAAAAAAAAATATTATACCTGTGGTGAACATTAAAAATAGCGTAATCCGAGTTATGTTCCAGAATTACGAATACGATTTGGAGACAATGTTGGAGCCCAAACCTGCCTCCCAACTGATGGACGTCGCCAGGAACATAACCACTAATATAGCGCTATATCTGCCCAGGAATTCCAGATCAGATCAGGTAATTTTATACCATTATGGTAAATTACCTAAATGGACAGATTACCTAATTTTATGCATTTCATCAAAGTCCCAGACATCTCCCAAATTGTCTAAAATATATCAGTTATCGTTATTCATTTTGTTGTTACATATATTTAATATCTACTGTCGTAAGGTTGCAAATATATATATATTAAAACGCAAAGAATTTAGATGCTAATCATTATTTAATAAATGAAGTAATAACTTCGTACTTCGGTATACATTTTTTAATATGCCAATATATTCAAATTTTATTAGCTGATAAACAGAGGTCGGAATTAGGTAGAGTTATATATGTACTTGCATCGAAATGTTGATATTAATGTGGACCTTCCCGGGATTTCTAATGGACAATCCCGTGTGGCCAACAATCTTACAACTAAATAATAATAACAAAACGTGCAGTAGTTTTAATTGTGTAAAAGTAAATAACTTTTTATTTAAAAAATCACGGGATTTTTTCTGCTCTTTAAAATTAATCTCGGTATTTGAGGCATATCCACTTTATTCTTTCGCTGTATGAAATCAGTGTAAGTACATGAATAACTACCTAATTCCGACCACTGCTGATAAATTCATATTAAGAAAATGTCCAATATTTTTTTTATAATTTCCTTAGAAATTGTAAAGTCGGTTAGACAAGGATAGAAATTAATGACGTCACATACTATCTAATTTTCCTTTACTTATTAAATTTCCACTTTATTACAATAAAGTTCCTCATTAAACTTGAAATCTAACATTATTATGACTGATTCGTTATTACTTGTTTACTACTTAGTAAAATAAATATTGAAATTTTAAATATCATTGAGACCATTGTGATTGATTGTACGTTAATTATCATGTATGTACTGTTTCAGATAATATCAATAGCCAAAGACATCGGCAGTTCAGTAGAAGTGGAACAGAGTTACCTAGATAAGCGTTTTGTGGCTATCACAGCGTACTTTTATCAAAACAACGACCTCTAACTTCCAATATTACATCTCTCGTGATTCTGTAACATTTTTTGTCGTACATATTTGTTCCGTTAACTGAAGCTGGCATGTTATTAATATTAAAAGAGATGAAAATTTCTCTCTACTTGCAAGAAATGCATTTTTTTATAGATTTTATAGTAAATTATTGAATTTTTATAACTAATTTTTCTGTTCTTTTATGTTATTTGACAATTATTCTTAATGTAATCATGCTAGCTTTAGTTAATAGAACTTTAAAGGTCTACTCCTCGGCAATCTTTGTGTTTCTTAGAATGTGCATAGTTATGCATCTAATTATTTATATATTATTATTCTAGTAGAATATATCTAGGAATATTGGCGACTCTATCGTTTGACAGAAGTCTTGATCAATAAAAAAAAAATGTCCTTTGATTACTTATGTACCTTATTAGGTTGGAATAAAGTTCAAAACATATTTCAGACGTTTGATATATTGCAATTATCTGTTGTTTGTGGGACATGGGAAAATGAAAATTGCCGAGGTCCATTAATAAAATATACGTTATAATTATGGTTTATGTGAAAAAAACAATATCTCCATATTTTCCGAAATCATATTGAAGCAGTAACTTGTAGTATTACTTAACAAATATATTCAATAACAAATGTATGACTTCGATACTATTAGATTTTAATTTAGCAGACTAAAATATTTTTATCTAACATAATATACACACGAATGAACATTATTTTATATAACTAGTTATTTTTATGAACACAACAGCAAAGATATTGAAGTAGTTATAAGGAGAAATAACATTTATTTGAAGATGATACTGAATCGTTGCAAACACAAAATACGTAATATTTAGAATTCATTTCAGCTTCTATAACCGCCTTATTCGACGGAGTTTGCTTTGTCGTTTTCATTGTAATAATTGTGACATAGTTATAAGCATAATATTAATATTTTATATGGACGTAATGAAACATTCGAAAGCGGCATTCCGCGCTTTTGTCGTTCAATTCCGTGAAAAACTAAGTAAAAGTGATCGCTGAAATCGCAGTATGAGTAATACTTTCTAGAAGCGACGTTCGTGAGATCGGCTTAAAGTTTCTCAATGCCTAATTGTATTATATTATACTTTATCTTAGTCTATTCCTAGGGCAGACGAAATGCAGGCCAAAGTAATATGTGAATGTCGAAAGTAAACGATGCGTATCGTTATCCATAGAACTATATCGTTTCTATAAAGTACTGGGTGGGATCAGCGACCAATAGTCCCGTACAATAAAACGCAGTACTTCGAGGAAACGATACTGATTTTTATACTGTAGCAATACGTATCATTTAATTTCAACGTTTACGTAACACTGGGTCCATTTTTTCGCGTACCCTTTAAACGAGACTATTTTTATAATACTAGTGTAGACGATTTTTTTAATATTTGTAGTTTTTAGATATACTTGATATATATATATATATATATATATATATATATAAATAAAAAAAAATGTAATATACGAGTATTAATAAAAATAAATTTCCCGCTTCAACGCTAACCTCTGTCAGTGCGTCGATGTGACGTCACAGCTACATAAACAATAACGACATAAACATCTTTGTATGTATGTCGATGTCAAAGCGAAAGTCAAATTTGACATCTTTCTTAGAGGACTGTGACGCGCTGTTTGCAGTCACGTGACAACGAGTTTCAATTAAGTCTTTTTTAATAATTAATTTAAAGAATCTTATAAATCGAATAAGCATGGCAGCGTATTTTTTTTTTTTTTGTTTACTGTCTACACCCGTATTACGGCAGTTCAAAATAAGAGTTATATTTATGTAGTATTTCTAGTCAGACACGTCATCGCCCACTTATTGCTTTATGAGAAAGATTATTGCGTGCGGTCACATTAAAAAATAAATACTTCCTTTAATCCTTATAAAAAATAGTGCATTAATAGCATTACATCTTATTTAGGATGTCTAGAAGAATACTGTGTATGGTATGCATATCTTATTCAAAGCAATAAAGTATTTACGTATAATATAAAATTAATTAACATTTATTGTAAAATAAAACGTGTTCAATGTCAGTTAATTTAACATCAAAGTTGTTAACTGTAATATAGTAGCCTTGCTTATTTGCGTGAAAAATGCATTATTACAAACCTCATTTTTATTAAAGCGCGTCCATAATTAATTCAACTGAAAATATTATTATTGACACAACTTACCACCCATGGATCAAGTTTTATCAACTCACGCGAAGGAATCGTACATGCATATGAAGCACTAGTGGTGTATTTGACAATGTTACCTTTTTTTACGTGAGCATTGGTCTAAACTAGCTTAAAACAAGCTTCGTGAGTTCTTCTGAACCACTTTGAAATTATTTGTGATGTGATGTGTCAAAATAACTTGTAGATCTTCATGCTTATTACTACATTATTGTGTAACCTCCTCAATAACCATTGCTATGGTAATTTTAATCAAATATAACTGTCTTCGTAAATTGTAGTGGTACACATTCAGTCTTAATATAAGCATATTCTTAAGGCAACTGAAGCTCAAGACAATTAGGTATACCCAATTGAAAGATTTATTCTAAACCTCTGAAAACTGATTATAAATTAGAATTAAAAAATAATAATCAGGTAATAGAGATAATCTTGTATTGTGATTGTATAATTGTTGTGATCTGTAAATATTTGTTGATGAAATTAAAAATTGATAATGAGTGAGATATATTGTTTTGCTTTTTTTTTATTATATAACTTACTACTTCACTAAACATCACCTTCATAAAACAGACAGATTTAAAAAATCAAGAATAGCCCATTTATAGGAGAATAACTACAATTAGTGCCAAAGATGTCATAAGAAAATTTAGCCATATACATTTCTAGTGTTGCCACAGACTTTATACTTTATTTACTTTTTAAATGTATTAATAAATAACATCACATTATTTTCAATCCATTCATCATTTATTAAGGTACAGATAAGGTATGTAAAAGTAACTTAGGCTTAATTGACACTTAATCTAATTAAAATTACTAATGTTATTCCTTCATTTCACCCTCTTCATCTTCTTCCTCTGCTCCTCGCACGTAGAGAACATTGTTGCATCTTATGAGTACTTCACCAAGGTTACCTGTAAAAGTGTATGTTGTGTTTGAGCATGAAAAATTTTAAGTAAGATGGAGCAACTGGCAGCCTTGCATGTCCTCTGAGATTTTTATTTACTGATTTTATCCTAGCACAAACATGCTTGTACTTAAGTCGAGTTGTTGTCTCAGTTTTATTGTACATGCATTGTGCAAAAAAAACTGAGAAAAAGTTTGTCTCTTCTTTGTTTTTCAGTGTTTCATACCTATTTTCCCATTTTATATAGACATGTTAGTGTACAGTCCCATAAATATAGTAAAATTTGACTTTATACAATTGTTATGATGGGACATGATTATTCAATATGCAGCACCTGCACAGTTTTAGTAACAGTATTCTTATATATAAGAAATTTTGTCAAGTCAGACTTGTAAATTAAATAATAAAGATGTTACCAACTATAACTACTGACTCAAGACTGATAAAAGACCTATAAAAGTGGAATTGGTTTTTCAGCATCAACACTTGACGCCTGTTACTGTTCTCGTGTTTAACCTATCTCTCTCTCAAATACATAGCCATGATCCGTCTATAGATCCTAATAGGTATTATTATTGCTTTTACAAGAAATAATACAATTATTTATAAAATGATTATATGAAAACATCTCACCTGTGCATGAACCATCAACAATTTCTTCCGTGTTAGCAAGCTGCAAATTCATGTAGCCATCAGCCGACACTAGTAAACCTTTGTATTCGTGCCCCCATTTTAATTTGACGAGGACAGATTTGCCGGTCAAGCTATTGAGGAATGGTTTGGGGTTGATAGGCATAGCCGCAGCCATCTCTGCAAATTTCTAAAAACATAAATGATATAAGTAGTCTCATGATATTACTCTTAGGAATACGTAGACAATCAATAAATACCTTTGTTGTTTTTAATGAAATAGAAAAATTGCCGTACCGCAACAACTCTATTGATAACCTCAAAACAATTCAAATTTCAAAAGTGATATTTGTGATTTTTCTTTTATGGAAAGGCAAAGGGATTTATCTTTTCTAATCCATTATAGTACCCGTGCAATTGAGATTGTGCAACTGAGTCGCTCCAAAATACGTAGATCCAAATTCCCTTTACTGTATATAAAAAGAATAATCAATGAATTATCAAAAATAAAAATCACTGGGCGAGAAATTAAATATCGATGAATAAAAATGAATCGTCAAAACGTATGTACGCGCATTCCTTCCGAATTCCAGTTCCGACTGCACCAAATTGGATGCTTCTATTTTTTTTATGTTCCATGATTCATAACACGCTTTGTATATAAGATTAAAAAAAACGGGTATAAGACGGTCAAGTTCGTCAGGTCACCTATACTCCATTCATTATAGCATTAGACAGAAATTAAATAAGGTTCTTTTTATGGTATACTTTGTGACAAAATATTAACAATCATGTTACTCTTAAGACTGACGGCTTATTTACTACATATCCACTTAAATACCAGCTGCTATACTTAACGGTTGTCGTTTAAGCTATCTGTTAAACAAAATTATGTGTATTTGACTAACTTAAAAGATTTAATAAATTTTACAATAAAAAGTGTTCATCTTAAAGAACCTACAGAAGCAGGGTTGGATAGTCTCGGCACGATTCTCATGTCACTATAACTCTACCAAATTGAAAACGTTGCTTAATCCCTTCAAACGTTTCGGTAGTACAGCTTTTTAATTTTGTCAGATTATGATGTATTCATAATAGTCAAAATACGTAATCTGGGATTCTCATTAATTGTGAATGTTATTGCTTTTCTTGTTGTTTTACCGTATTCCGTGATTGAGTTGTTATTAAATTATTGTTGTTTTCTTATAGTTTTGTTTTGGTTGTTATCTTTTTGATGTTAAGTTTTGCTAAATATGGACGATTCCGGTGCAGGTCCAAATGGCCTACAACAATTACCTCTGACATTTCAGGAAGTTTTTCCAATATATTAATCAATAATCTAATAATATCTGAATAAGTGTTATAAAAGTAATACTAAAAATTTCATTTTGTTTACCTTTCTTTCCTGGGCATAAATATTACTAAATTCTATTCTAATTATACACTTACAATTAGAATTTATCAAAACAACAGATAGATAGTTATAGTTCCATATTGGCTTGGGAGTAAAAAATGAATTTAGAAAATTCTAGCCTCATAGCAAAAGAAAATGGAAAATTGCCCAACTCTTTCAGACTACCTAACTTTCAAAGTTTTAACAAAACTGTTATATATATTTTAAAATTTTTCTTGAAAATAAAATGTTCTATACTGCTGCTTCTGTGATCTTCTTTTTTCTAATGTTATAATGAATGGAGTATAGTCTAAAATAAATAATAAAAATATATTTATTGTAACAAAAAGTTTTTTAAGGTTATTAAGTACGATAATAACCGAGGTAGTAAAAAAACTGAACCATATGAAAAGTTTCAATTGACGAATATGTTATTGTTACCCTTTTTAAACGAGACAAATAGCCACTGAACTTGATATCTCGCTCGACTCGCTTTTCAGCTGAGAGTACTCTGTCTTGTTATATGTAATTAAGTCCATGATTATTTCAGATATGTCATCTGAGCTATATAAATTATAGTTATCTAGAGTTTATATTGTGTAAAATTTATATATCTTTGCTTCAAATGTCAATGACACCGAGATAGGGATGGGCAAATGGGAAAAAAATATCGAAATATATCGAATCGATATTTTTCAAATGTATCGATATATATCGTCAAAAATATATCGATATATTGATATATCGATATTTTCTGCGTATTAAGCGATTATCAATGATAATTTCAAAATATTCGAAATTTTTAAGCAACTACACACCTGGCTATTTTGATATCAGATGTATTATTTAAAATAGGCACATAAAGCTAAGAAAACAACATTATTAACAGAATCAAAATTAGATTGTTCAAACAAACGTGCATTTCTCTGATATTGTCATCATGACCACACTCAGTGATACCAACTTAACCAACATGCAGTGTCACTGTCAAATAAAAAGACACACAAAAAACACAAACAGGTTATAGACTAAACTCATACACCCTACCGTCCACCTACTCTTTTTCTAAATTTAAGAAATACATGATGTGACGCATGTGCAGACAGCAGAAATTAAAAAAAATATCGAATTTGATATCTGAAAATAAATATCGAAAGCCGATTGATAGCTAGTGGGGATGAGGACTGTAAATTAAAACTAATGGATGTATGATAAAATATAATAATAATAAATCACAAATCACAGCAAACGACAATATCCAACAACAGCAAAACAAAGAGTAAGTAAAAGAACAATATAAAAAATATGACATAAACTAAATCAAAAAGGATGGCGCTTTCCAGCCAGTCGCCTACATTCCCGCCCCCAGTGGAACACTAACTCTCGGTGGCGACTGACTGGGGCACCATCAGAACTAATTTACGAGCCGGGCGGCGTAGTGTACCTCCCTTTGTGAAAAGGTCCACCACGCGTACTCGACCATCTGGGCCAGTGAATACTTTTGTGACCCTACCTAAAGGCCATAATCCTCGTGGTAAGGTAGGGTCGGCTACAATAACCACGTCCCCCTCTTTGAAGTTTATAGAGTCCCAACGGCGTCCTCTTGGGCAAAGTGTGGGTAAATATTCCTTTATCCACCGTGCCCAAAAATGATCAGCCAGTCGTAGAACTTTGCGCCAGTCGCATGGCCGCAGCAGATCTGCATCGCTGAGGTTAGTGGTCCATGGTGCGACTGACGATGTTCCGATCAAGAAGTGGAAGGGTGTTAATGATTCTGGTGCTTCAGATTGTGCCGTGAGCGCAGGTTGTGCTGCAACGGAGGGTGCACCTCCCGAAGTTTGCGCGGTGGTGGAAGGCAATACTGAATCATCACTCGCGATTTTAATCTGACTACGCGTGTTTACCATTGTAATGACGATGAAATGATGCTATGAAAAAAATTATCTACGAAAATTGTGATAACTACATGAATAATAATGAATTTAAAATTTTTGACAATACGTAAAAAATATGGAAACTGGTTTACAAATACTTACGGAACGAATGGACCAAAATGATAGCTAGTGGGGATGAGGACTGTAAATTAAAACTAATGGATGTATGATAAAATATAATAATAATAAATCACAAATCACAGCAAACGACAATACCGATATATCGCGGGAAAAATATATCGTTTATTTATATCGATATTTTTAGAAACAAATATCGATAATTTGATATCTCGATAGTTTTTGCCCATTCCTACACCGAGATCCTTGTCTCTAGAGATAGACGTTTAAACGAAAAGCACTTAGACTTATTAAAATACTTATTAAAATATTAAAAAGCATGCTTTTTTAAAAAAAAGCATGCTTTTTTAAATAAGTGCAGAAGCACTTTTTCACTTAGAAGAAAAGTATGCTAATGCTTATTGTACGTCCCGCCATCTATCAAGATATAACTACTAGCTTCAATCAATTTTTCCGTTTCGGCGTTATTTTATTTGAGAGCAGCACTTTACATAAAATAAATAAATGCATGCACTGTATTATACTATTACGCGTGATATCCATCTAGACTTTTTACAACAACTTTTTTGGTTGGTTAATCCAAACACTTTTTTAAACTGAACTTATACTTAAAAAAGCAGTACGCTTTTCGTTGTTGAAGTAAGTGCACGTTGTGTTAATTGCGTAAGTTGAATTATACAATTAATACGTAAATAAATTGCTACTTAAGTAATGAATGACTTTTGTTTATCAATGTAAATAAGTTTTGTTATGAGGTGATGGTGTGTATATAAAACATTTTAAATATTATTGAACTGCATTAGTTTTAAGTTTGTGTAAATAAAATGTCGAGAAACGGTAATAGTATTGTGTGGGAGTATTTCAATAGAAATGTGGAGGACAGAATCGCAGAGCGTAATATATGTAAAAAAAAATCTTTCTTTCAAAAGTTCTATTACTAATTTAAAACAACATTTAAAATTAAAACATGTAAGTGTATATAATAAATTCCTATCGCGTAGTTTAGCGCGACCTGGTAATAGTGTCCGGGTGGACCATTCAGCTCCAACAGAATCTGTAACCTCGCCATCAGTAACTCAGCAACAGCAGAGTAACGAAAATAATACCGTTAGAAATGTCGGTGGTGGTGATAGTGGTGGTGGGGCTCCTCCAAATCGTCAACGTCATAGAACCACGGCTTCTTATTTATCTCGCCAGTTAAGACCTGAAGAAAAAAAGAACATAGACAAATCCTTATTAAAACTAATGACTTTAGATTTTCAACCATTTAGTATTGTCGAGGATGAAGGGTTCAAGGAGTTTGTAGGAACCATTAACCCTAGTTATGAGTTACCAAGTAGGAAAACGTTGTCGAATACATTGTTATCGGCTGAGTACAGCGAACAACTCCAACATGTTCAAGCTTTAGTCCAACAACAGTGCGTCAGTATTTGTGCCACTGTTGACTGCTGGACTTCTAAAAATTTAGAGTCATATACGGCAGTGACAGGCCACTTTATTAGTAAAGAAACACTGCAATTCCACAGTATTTTAATACAATGTTCAGCCATTGAAGGTCATCATACCGGTGAAAGGTTAGCAGATGAGCTGAGAGTGATTTTCACCGAATGGGCTATAACTGAGAAAGTGAATTTCTTAGTAACGGATAATGCAGCAAATATGAAAGCTGCTGCAAGAAATTTGGATATACCCCATTTTGGTTGTTTTGCCCATAAGCTCAAACTAATTGTTCAAGCTGCGTTAGCCGATGAAACAATTTCTTTAACAATCGCTAAAGTACAGAAAACTGTGTCGCATTTCAAGCGTAGTACCATTGCGAAAGAAAAGCTTCAAAAATATCAGAGGACGACACAAAATGTTCCTCAACCCAAAAGCCTGCTATTGGAAGTACCTACGCGATGGAACTCCACACACCACATGTTGGAAAGATTTGTGGCATTACAAGAAGCGTTGAGGGCCACTATACTAAATTTGAATGTAGACTTACCTGTAATTCCCTTAGAGGAGTGGAATTGTTTAAATCAAATTTGTGAAGTCCTTAAGCCCTTCGAAGATGCGACTAAAATAATTAGCAGTGAGACGTACCTCTTAGCAAGCAAAGCTCTCGTTTTAGTTAGTGGAATGCATACGGTATGCGACCAACTACTGCAGCGCAATTTTTATGAGTCGGTAAATGCCCTTATATTGAATTTGAAACAGGGAATAGAATCAAAATTTGCAGACATTGAAAATAAATCAAGAAATTGGACTTTGCACTCTTTTAGATCCCCGTTTCAAGCACCATGCATTTGAAGATCAAGCCTTAATGTTAAAGGCAAAGGTTGTCCTACTAAATAAAATAATCTCACTTCAAAGTGAAAAACCAGACGCAACTGCACCTGCTGCTTCACATTATGATTCTCTGCCCGGATCATCATTGTGGGGAAAATTGGACCAAAAAATTTTATCTTCCCTTAAACCACAAACAGCCAGAGAAAAATCAATCGAAGAATTAAACATGTACTTCAAAGAAAATATACTTCCTCGAAAAGAGTGCCCTTTCAAATGTTGGAAAGAGCACCGGACAATCCTACGCTTTATCAGTTATTTATTTCAAATTCGAATATAATGGTCACATCAGTACCATGCGAAAGAGCTTTCTCTAAATCAGGGTACATAATATCGGACAGAAGAACAAGACTTACCACAACAAAAGTAAAAAAAACTAATGTTTCTTAATTCTTAAAAAAAAACTAAATAAATAAATGTGCTGTAAATAATGTAAATAAAAAATCATGTAAATAAAATCAATGAACTTTTAAGTACGCCTGGATCATGAATTACTAAAATAATTTTAAGTTAAACTTTATTGATTCCAGACAGTCCTAATCCTGTGATTAAGTACGAAGGAAAATTCATTGATTGAAATAAAGTACAAAAATTTGATGTTATCAATATTTTTTTTACTTACAACCTTTTCGTTTTATATGATTTTGTAGCTCGTTAGTTTTGAAAAAATATTTATTATTTTATATAAATACTAGCTTTCCGCCAGCGGCTTCGCCCGCGTGGTCTTGTATTATACATAAAAACCTTCCTTTTAAATCACCCTATCTATGAAAAAAAATCCACATCAAAATCCGTTGCGTAGTTTTAAAGATTTAAGCATATGTAGTGATAACACAACGTTGCATGCTTATTATAACGATTTCCAATCGTCAGTTGAAAAAAAAGCGTTTAAGCAATAAGCAGTTTTTAAAAGCTGCTTATTAAAAATCGTACAACGTAACAACACTTAAAAATTTTAAGCAGTTATTTCCAACTCTACTTGTCTCGATGTCTGTGTTCTGTGTCTCGATCTTTGATAAGGTCTCGATGACAATGTCTCAGTAGCATTTATATTTCTAGTTGTAATATTTTTTTTTGGTCTGTGTTTTGTTCTAATTACAATAACTCTCGTGAATATAAATTAAACTTACGCCGCAATGTCATTTACAGGTTTTAGTGAAGAAGATTTAAAACGAATTAAATCTAATCAAACTACTGTTAATAATGGTAAATAAGTATTTGATGTGATTCTGCTTGTTGGGAAAACTATCCCATCTTTCCAAAACTTGGCCACGTCGCTCGTGTGATACCGATAGTTGTCATCGTATTTATACCGGCATGGCATTTATTTGAGGTGTATTTAAAAAAAGCATTAATCATGTATAAAATACAATAGTGTTTTGTAGTATGTCATGAGTAGATATTATCGTTAAAAATTATAACTATAAGTCCTTGTTCAATCGTTACTTTAGCACATTTTAAATTCAGTTACTAATATGATGAATGAAAACAATGCAAATATCTGCAGACAGGATGTTTAGTGATAAAACTCAACTTTTTAAACTATTTAGCCTGATGTAACATTTGAAACACTATTAAGTTAGTATTTATAAAGGTCTGATAATAAAAGAATAAACCTATTTTTTTTTGTAATCTAATTGCAGAAGTTCCCATCAGTACATCAACCATCAAGAAAATAGAAAAACTTGGTACAAAATCAAAAAGAACAACCAATTCATATAAATCCCTTAATCTACAAAAACAGACATCTGACGAAGCAATTGATGATATAGATTTTAAGAAGTGTAAACTTAGTTTACAGATTTCTTCAGCCATATTACAAGAATCAGAATTTGCACAAACTGAAAAAGAAGATTGTGTTCAATCAGATTTAGTTAACTTTAATGAGACTTGTACAGATTTGAACATGGAACATGAACAAACAATTGACATACAAAAGAATGATTCTAGTAATGATTTGAGGAAGTGCAGCACTAGCAGCACCCCAGATATTGTAAGAGGGGTGACAGATTATACAGAAGATGAATTAGCTGCTCACAGAATGAAACTAGAAGAGTTGCAGTTGAAGCAAAAAATTATGGAGGAACAGAATAAAAAAAGAAAAGAAATGCTGGCTAAAGCTCTTGCTGATAGGTAATCTATAATTTAAAACAATGTAAGGTGCCTTAACAATTTCAATGACTTACAATTTAAAACTACCGTCGTCTTTGTTATCAACACCATTGATGAGATAAACATTTGTTCTGTATAAAGTTGTCACAATGTTTATCAGAAAATGATAATTCATTTGATATGTGCTCCACTAACTTACTATGATTGCATTTTTTGCTATACAGTTGAGTGTTTATTATTATCAACATCAAAAATATTTTAAATATAAAACAAGTAATGATTGATTTTTCAAAATACACTAAATATTTGACATTAATAAAAAAACCAATATGGTAGTTATAATAGTTTGTTCATATGACATTTTAAGGTTAAGGTTAATGTAATTGATAGATTTATTATTTCAGGACAAAACAAACTGAAGAAGAAGTTTTGAGATTAGAGAAGATAAAAAAAGAACTTCAAGTATTAGATGGTCAGTTCTCTCACGATGTTGCAGTACTGCGGAAGAAAATTGATCAAGCATGTTTAAGTTTTGCAGAAGCAGAGTGAGTCTCCCCTTATCAAATATTTTTTTGTCATTTTTAGTCATTACATATATACTGGCATACAATATTAAAAAAAGTGTTGGTTTACTTTATCATTCTATTTTTTTTAAATATTTTATTAAACCTGCTTTTGGAAGAAGTTTATTGGACTTCATATTTAAACTGGATTACAATAGTTTTTTTTTTTTTATAGAAAACATTACTTAAGGGTTGAAAAAGATTTTCTCCAAGCTAAAATTAGTTTACAAAAAGAGAAAGAGAAGAAGGAATTGCTTACAGAGCATCTATGTGCTTTAATAACACACAATGAAACAAGAAAAGCGCAAAAACTAGAAACTCTCATGTTGGAACTTGCCAGTGATAAGAAAATAGATATAAATGACTTATCGAGATCTATGGAAGATGAAGAGCCTATAATTGTAGATGGAGTGGACCAAAGGACTGGTAAGATTGTTGAAATGCCAGTTGAAAGTTGAAATAAAACTTAGTTTTTTTAGCTAAGGCATACTGGCCATTAGTTGATATAAGAATTGAGTGAGATATCAAAAGAATATTGTCATGAAATTCAAATAATTTTACCATGTAGTTTTTACACTGCAGACAAGTGTTTCTTAGCCTTTCTAAGTCTTCCCTAATAAATCACATTTCAAGCACCCCCTTAATGATATTTATTTTTAATACAAAAAATGTTTCCTTTGAGTCTATGTCTTGCTAGGAATATGGTGTGGAATTAAAGAACATTATTTTATTCCTGAAAAATATTTTAGTTTATTTGAACTGCTTTATTACATTATTAGTACTGCTTTCTTGCATCTATTATGTATAGGGATGATATTATTATTAATAATAATAATCTTTATCATATAAAGTAGGAATATTACAATTATTTTTAGTTAATTTACAAAAATATGTATCAACTTATTATTGATTTATAAGAGGTAGAGATTTTAGTGGTATTTTTATGATTATTAAATGGTCCAAATGGGACTGCTTACCCCCAAACATGTAACGCATCCTCCCCTCATCCCCCTGCTTACTTCCCATAGACCACAGGTTAAGAAACACTGCTGTAGATCATCACATGTTTTCAAACTAAACTTAACAGTCTACAACTATTAGTTATGTCAATACTACAGTACCACAAACTTATTATATCTCGTTTCTATTAGTCAACGTGCAGTGTAGTTTTAAATTTAAATTTATGTGGTTTATCTTCATTGGTCAGTCATTAGTTTAGTGGCCAATAAAATGAGCCCATAGATAAATTATCCATTAGTTAACTAAATATTGTTTTTGTGTTAGCAACACTAATATAGGGTAATCTTAATGGATAATGTGGCCAGTTCAAAATCCTACTCAATTTATAGTTTAATTATAAGTGTAATTGTAACTGAGTGGTCTATTTTCAAAGCCTACTATTTTTTTTTGTGTCAACTTCTTAAATAGTATTAATATTATGTAAGCATAATAAAAGGTTAATTTGATATTAAGACTAATAGATGTCAATAGTGGCCTATTATAATGACCCAATTGTTTACAATTGTTTATAAAGAGTTTTGATAAAAACTCATTGGTGAATTTAAAAAAGAAATGCATACAATTATTTATTTATAGCCCAAATCCATTTTCAGGGGGTTCTCAAAGGTTTTAGAAGGTTTTGAAAGTAGAACCTTAATTGAAGATATTAGGGATTATGATACTTTATTTTATATAACAGTGAACACTACATCGAATTCCAAATATATTGTGGTGCAATTACCTATAAATAGGTCAGTATTTATTTTTATATTTGTATGTGCCTTACAACTTGTACCTTTTGTTAAACATAGGTGCAGTAAATTAATATTAGTATAATAAGTATTTAATTATTAGATTAAGTTTATTAAAATTTCTTATAAAAATATAACAAAGATAAAATATTGTTCTACTATTTATAACCATGTTAGTTCAAATTGAGCTGCTCAAGCACAAAGGGACAAATTAAAAGATATCTCTACATAACATGAACATTTAATATAATTGTAAATAATAAACTGACATTATTTTTCATAGTACTTTATTATTTTAACATTTCAAAATATATATTAACACTTTAGAAACAATAACACCAAATATTAATGGGGATATTTACAAATTAATTAGAAGCATCCATGTTTTTCCTTGTTTATGGGGCTTTATGAAATGTGGCATATGCAAATTTGAAGTATCTTTTGAAATACTCTTTGAATGCCGAAGGGTTGTTATAACTATTAATTAACGGTATCATCTTTCATATACAATGAATGATAGCATAATTCACAATAATTTACGCTTTTTGAAAAATATAGTTACGTAAATAACTGATTATTACTATCATCTAGGGTTCCCTTGCCATGTCTTAGATAAAACATCTCTAAATCGGGGAAAACCAGAAATATCTTGCCAATTGAATGCCCACCACAGAATCATAATTGTGTAGTTACAATTTTCTTGATAGTTCCGATAGAGGGCGCTGTATTGAAATCTGTATTAGATATGACTCTTATTGCGCTGACTTCTTTCCTTCGAAAGGATAGGATAACATATATATTTTTTAAATCTTATGGTTGGCAACCCTAACTATTTTTTGGTGCATTAAAATGAATTAATACAACTATGATATCGCTCAACTAAATTATTACAAATTACATAACATTCTTATGTGAATAACTGGTGTATCAGTGAAAAACTTCAGAAGCTATATTAATATTAACTCTGCAACGTAAGTGATAAGTGATGTTTGTAATTTGATATAAGTATTCGTTCTGAATCACAAAAGCTCCTTAAGTACATGTGATAAGAAAACTCACAATTTATTTCTAGTATGGACTAAGCGGGAATCTATTCCCTGTGCGTAAACAAATAAGAAATTATAGTATTGTCAATTTCATAGGTATGATAGTTGAAAATAATACTGATTACGATTGAGACAACGATATTAATACTTGTAGTGTCTCATTTAATTGTAAGGTGTAATTTGGACCAAATTTAATACTGTACCGTTTAATAGCCTAATCCACTATGTCTTATTTACGGTCTATATTTGGTCAGTTTGTCAGTGCCTTTCTACAGAGTGAAGTGCCATCTGATAGAGTGAGATGGCTTGCATAAGAAACGGATAGATTAATAATAATGATGCGTGTCCAAAAAAAAGAAAATATTTTAGGCATCTGTAAAAGTTCGTGTAATCGGAAAATATATAAGTAAAATTGAAAAGGTGAGATGACACTTAAGGATTTAACGGATAGTCTATTAAACTGTCGGCAGTTATTATTAAATAAAAGTAATATTTCTACTTGTATGTTACCTTAAAATAAACAAGCTAACTAACATAAACTGGTTCTATTGTTTATAGAAGAATGTTCACCGCCTCTTATGGAAGAACATCCTTCTGCCTGTATGCTATCCCCAATTCCAGTACGAGTATTTGTTCTCGTGGTCTTTGAGGATGGTCCTGACATTAGAGTCCGCATTCTCCAGTTCCGTCCTCTGGTCGCGTTCCATTTGGATGAGCTCCAAGCCACGTTTCGCGGCGCAGTGGTAACGTTGACTGAGGGATGCTTCTGATCCTTTGATGCGGGGAATGTGGCCAGTGTAACCAGCTATAGGAGGGTATTCCGGTGATATTGCGTGATCTAGAAGTAGGATGTCTGTGATTAGTTTAATTTATTGGGATTGCTGGGATTAAAGCGTGGGTTTTGTAATTCTTGTGAACTTTTTGAAATTAATTTTATATAACAATCAAATGCTTAGATAGTTATCTGAAAATGAATATTTGTAAACTTAACCGTGCAAATGATAGCATGTTTTAATTAAAATTCACTCGGACCCATCAAAAAAATTTTTTTGAGCACTTTTGAAAAGTTCAAATATTAAAAATATATAAATTATCAATTATAACCTCTGTACTTATTGATCTCTGTAAATCTGTTAAGGTCGCGCGCTATCTCATCGCGTGAATGGACAGTTTCCATCTTGGGAGCGCTGCGGGAACGCACGAAACTCCTGTTGAGGTCGGATTTACGTCGTAACTCGCGTTGACTTTCAACGAAGTCTGCCATGCAGTCATCTGCCGCTCTACCATACGATTGTCCATATCTGAAAATGTTGGGTAACGCAAATTAAGCAATATATTTCAGTAATAAAAAAAACAAACATGTAATCGAAATCGATCTTTGGCTACTTTCATTTGATTTTGGCAGCTACTATGCAAAGATCATCTTTATATCTCTGAGAGCGTCCTATACCTCTGGTTTTCGCTCCAAAGTTCGTTTGCCCCACCGATTGTTGGACGGTAGAAACTAATATGTGAAGTAATATTGTCACTTCAGCTTGCTAATACGATAGACTATGTCAATTACATTTTGGATTCCGAGCATAGCCCTCTCCATAGGGTATATTGCCGAGTGACTTTCATTTTATGGACAAGTTCCATGGGTGTTCACGTTTCGTTTCCTATGTCATGATTTAGTGCACACTAATGAAGACTTTCGTCTTTAGACTTCATGGGTTAGACGTTTTATTGATCTTCTATTCGAAGTTGTTTTTACCTCAATTTCATATTGTAAGTAATAATTATATCTTCGTTTTGCTGTCTGTTATTGTCGTGATGTTAGAGCTGTGAGATAGATATCGCTAATTCAGGAGACGCCACACCCTCATGTGTCAGGTGTTTATTTCATGAATTTCTAACTTTTAACGGAATTCTAAAGTATCATCGTATGATTTAATACAAACTGTATTTATTAAAAAAAACTTTACCTAAAGTGCATTCCTGGAACATATCCGGTATAGCCGGTCATGTACGCTGGCTGTCGATATTCCAGACCTTCGTAAACATCTCTTTGGGGTGCTCTCCTTTTAGGCATATTGTGAAGTTCGTAATTATCTCCTGGTCGATATTGTAGTGGTTTGCTAAAATGAAGAAGTTTAATTAGGCAATGATAAATGCTGAAAAAAAATCGTAAAAATGGATAATGAAATAACAATTTTTGAAAGAAAGCGATACGTATCGCTATCCATAGATCTTTGTATCGTTTTTGCGTTGCACTACCTATTGTTGTATGGGATGGGTCTGTAACCTATAGATTCCAATAGCAACAAAACGCTGTATCATGTCGAATCGATATCCTATGATCAGCGATACATTGGCATTGTTTTCTTTCTTTCAAAGTTCATATAATATCTGTGTTAGTACGCTTTTCGCTAGTCTTAGGAACATTCTATAATCCTGATCCGAATTCCGTACTTACTTGAATAATCCTTTAGACCTTATTTCCTTTAGTATTTGCCTCGTATTGTCGCCGTAACATTTTCCGTATCGGAATTTGAGCATAGGACAATGACCTGTATACCTGTAACAAGAAATGTATTTTAGCAAGCAGGTACATAAATGTACACTTAAAATAGGGTTGCCAACTGTTCTGTTTTCCCAGGATATTTCTAGGTTTAAATAGTGTCCTGGGATGTCTTTGATTGTTTTTAAGCAACTTCCCGAGGTTTCAAAGGGCCCAAATAAGGTCTCATATTTTTAAATTTACGCGCCGCTTTTCCAATTGTTACGTAATGGGCGAGTCATGAGTTTTGCTACACTGATGTGCTGTTTTATGAAGATATATAAATTAATGTATTGTTTTTCATCCTAATGACTCTTTTAACTCAAAATTCGTCATTTAATTTACTATATAAAAATTGTAAAATATTAGGTTTTACTTAAAAATTTATTTACCATGTTACTGCGTCTCATTTTGAGACTTTTTTTGAGCTTTTCAAACTTCAAATCCTTGTTTTATGGGTTGGCAACCCTAACGCAGAAATATTCGCAATTTAATATAATTAAAATATGATTATTAATTATTTAAATACTTATAGATATAGGCATGATATTTTGGCAAGATATGTGGATAGATTTGAGGGTGCAAACTTAGAGGTATTATATGAGTGCATTAAGTTTTTCCAAGCTTTCACTTTTTGCTGAGTGTCTAAGAAAATTTGCGTGGTTCGAATGTATAATAGTCGTATCAATACGAAGTTGATGCAAATAAATAAAATTTCATGCATTAATTTATACGTCAAAATATTAACATTTGACTTCGTAATTTTCATTCTTATAATTGATGATCAAACGAACTTTCCATGTGAAGTTCAATTAAAACTATGTGAGCAGCTTTTGCAGCAATTGATTAATCCACAAACCGCAAGGAATAAAGCTGCGAAACATAAAAACAGTTATATGCTAATCTGATGAAAAACCGTGTCGAACTCGTCTTCGATCTCAGCGCTGTCACGTCATAGAGATTCAAATAAAACCTTTGTCGCTTTTTCAAGTAGGTTTTATTTGATTGAGTCTCTGCTAATATCATTGATCTCTGCGCAGTGTCGCGCGTCGTCGTCTCCGAGGCTTTTTTTATTACAGAATATCATTACTGGTTTCTACGATATTGGCGTGAAATATGTTCTCCAATAGGCCATGCGAAATTGGATAGTGAATATCGGATCACGGTTATGTAATAGATTTTTTTTCTAGTTGATGAGACAGATTGATCGAGCGATAAACTCTTCAAAATGCAGACGGCTAGGTATAATATGTCTATCGTGTTAAGAGGACACGTAAAATTAAAAATCACTAGCCTCCATTTTCACTAACCTAGAACAAGGCATAGCTTAACAAGGAAACGCCTAATCTTACGAATCGCCTAAGCAGATTAAGGTACTGCCGACAAATAAGGCCTACCTTAATTAAAACTTCCATATTTCTGTAACGCATACGTAAATATTGTCTGGCACCAGTCAATACCAACCATTGTTGAGTTTTCTACAACATACTAAAGAATGACACTCATTGTCTTAGTTTAAATCTTTCAAACAATCAAAATACAAAACTGTTAGTTTTGGCCTTAATAAATCACGCTTATCAAATAAGGCCTACAAACTTAATATTTAATTTTACTGGTGTTGAATGCAAATAATCATATATTTTTGTATCAATCACGTTTATTCTTTTCCGTACTTAAGTGTCATTTATTAATCGCTTCACAATTTCAACAAAAACAAGTAAAATAATCTTAATTAGACTTAACTACCAAATTTCACAGAAAAACACAAGATAAAAACGAAATTATAGGTTCAGTGGAACACAATTACACAAATTATTCTAAATTCAAACAAAAGTAACAAATCAAAATGTAAAAAAAATAAATTTCATAAAGGCCTTATTCAAGCCTTGCTCTTATAAGGCCCATCCTGACTACAGCTCAAATACTTGTAGGGTATAATAACCTATGGGTACAATAACCTATGGGTTAGTAATAAGGCCTATGGGTTAGTAATAAGGCCTAATGTAAACCGTGACAGTTTATGAGATTATTCATTTTTTATTTGTTTCGTGTCATAAACATGAAATTAAACCATGTGACAACATTTTACACTAGGGAACGAAACAAAGCCTACAAAATAGCTAGGCCTTATTATGTAACGGGTACTCAATGCCCTTATCTAATAAAATTATAGTTTAAATGTTCCTTAAAAGTAACAAAAACCACATGACATGAAAATTAAACGTTTGTTTACGGTATGCTTTATTGACTTTGTAAAAAACCATGAAAGATAAAATTATTTTCTTACCTCGTAATTACGCGAGTCAGATTAATTTGGCGCGAAATAGCCACCTCCCATAGATAACGCCGCGCGACTGGCGTCGTGTGCGTGAGCAAGCCGCTTTCGCAACTCTCCCGTATTTGTAGGCACTTTGCCCGGATGTGTATGTGATACGGTAGAAATTGCAACGGTATTTATCGGTTTTCTGGAGGGTAGGCTTTATTCGTACATAGGCTTTATTTGTCGACAGTACCTTAGTTTAATTTCAAATAAATATTTTTTTCATTTATCCCTTGACATTTTTATGACCTAGCATAATACGCAAATGCTCAGGCAAGGCGCCACATAACGAATATCATAACTTTAGACATTGCTTAATATCGTAAGGTGGTGGCCTAGTCAATGGCGAAATGCATTTTTACATTAGGCGATTCCTAAATATTTAGGTGACAAATTTGGGCGACTCCTAAGTTTAGTACAAAGGGGCTTAACTATCAATGAGGAAGTTTTAAAAAAAAAAACATTAGTTACCGAAATCAAACTAGATGTCGCTACGGTACGTTCTTGACGTCTCCATGACAAACCTTCCGGTTTTATTTCATGTATAAAAGTAAATTAATTTTCAAAACTCAATAAACAACTCATATTGTATTTGTACTTTTTCGTATTATTTATATTATTATTTTTTAAATACTTTCTCATTTGCTTTAGACGGCAAACAACGGTTTAAACCAAATACTAATGTAAGTTCCCGTTTTAAATAAGACGGCTATTGTTTGATACGGTTTCACAGATTATTTCGTACAATTTTATTACGAATAATCCTTCAGACCTTTAGTGTTGACTTCGTCCACATTTTCGTCTCTCTTTTCTCTACATCTAGCTTTTAGTTATTTAGTTTATTTAATTTGGTTGGAATAACAACGAGATTACTGGCTGGCTGAATGAAGATATCAAAAGACTGTGTATTGTGGCGCACTCTGGGGGAGGTCTACGTCCGGCAGTGGACTGCGACAGGCTGTTATGACGACGACATCGAGATTTGAAGACTAATTTCACCATGTGGCAATCCACAGTCTGGCCCTCCTTGCAAGATCCCGGATCCTTTCCCCGAAGCGAGAGTCTATTCGATAGGCCTCGCCACTTTGGGACCTAATTCTAAATTTCGCTCGAGGACAAATAGAATAGGCCCAGTGATTTGAGATATTCCTACAAATGGTGCATTTCACCTGCGTTAACGAAAATTTTTTTCGTCATAATGAAGAAGTATTAAAAAAAAAAACCCGAAATCAAAATAGATGTCGCTACGGTACGTTCTTGATTTCTCCATAACAACCCTTCCGGTTTTCTTTGATGTTTAAAGTAAATTAGTTTTCAAAACTCAATAAACAACTCACATTATATTTGTACTTTTTCGTATTTGTATTGATATCTTATTCGAAGTTTGGAACTTATCAAATTTCAGTTTTTTAATATGTTAGTTAAATGTAACGGAAATGACTATCTTTGGTCCATTCGTTTCCTGCAAAACTCAACTTTTGCTAGAGTCCCTAGTCATATAGTGGAGGTGTTTTTTTAGTACTTTCGTTTTTTTTTTAATACTTCCCTATTGTAATACTATTTTGGAACTAAGTTCTAATGAGATTTTCTCTGCCTGGCTCACGAAGCATTAAACATGAATATAATAATAGGTAAGGTTTTAAATTATGACAGTGATGCATAAGAAACTCCGACCTCCGTAGCCGAATGGTTCGCACGGCGGTTTCAAGATGTCGCCATCTCTGAGTTACCGGGTTTGATACCCGGGTCAATGTAGAAAATGAACTTTTCGGTATCGTCCGGGGGTGTTATGTTAGTTTAGGTACTCATCTTGGAGTCTGAGCAATGTATGTGATGTTGTCTAATCTTTATATATTCTATCGGTCTTTTATTGTTCTCTTTAAACTTTACTACTCAAGGTCTAATAAGTATATTTAAAACTTAAGCGATAGAGTCAATTTCAAGTAATATTTTCCATTTCAACGACTGTCTGACGAGAGCAATCCTCAATTCTCTTCTTCTTCAATTATTCAGCTGACGCGATTCTCACACAGAACCACTATGCTTATAAAAACTTAAAGGGGTTTCCTCAAAAATAAGAATTTTCCTCCTAAAAGAAAAGAAGAAGAAAAACTGGGTTTGTTACAAAAAAGTAATGTGTTAATGTAATAAAACAAGATTAACAATAGCACACTTGTGAGGGTTCTGTGAAAATTAAAATGCAAAGTTATCA